CTACCGGATTGAGCGAATGATTGGTGAGGTAAGTCCACAACTGAGATCCCATTTCCCTTCTTCTCCTTCGTAGAATTCTCACTAACGATCCAGATCGTTATGATCCACCGCGCGAGTAATTGTACTAGAACGGTATTGGACTCTCTCGTGAAGGATTTGAGTCATAGCCATTGCAACAGGATTTTGAGGTCCGCTAACATTAAGGGAACTGGCTTCTGCCAGATCCAGCCAATTCAAGTATGTGGACTCAAATCACAAAGTCAATCTGTGATCTTAAGACGGCCGGATAGGAGTCAATCCCTCGAAATACAGTCTTTCATGTGGTATCAGCGAACCTACAGAAACAGAAATTTTTAACCGTTTCACTATTCTCCTATCCTTTTTGCTGACAGTTCGTAACCTTCTCTACCTGTTAGGCGTTTGACATTGCCTATAGGGACTAGTTACCTATGCGAAACGTCGATTGTTCTTTTCCATCTAGCATGAAGACAGGTTTTTAGGATGGAGCGCACAGAATCCTTCCGGCCACGCATTAACCCGCATCATACCACAAGTGCGTTCGTGACACCCAAAGCCGAATCGATTCCGGATTGGATGACTAAGGAGAATCAGATAGCCGTTGTCCGATCGATCAACCGGAGTGTTACGGACGCGATCTGATTAGTGCATCATCACGTACGCCCAATATACCACATATATTTGCGTATCGTATCATGATCAATAATATACTCTGACAGTCTTTTTCTCGGCTGTGTTCTTTCTCCGTATCGTTTTTGGGGTCTAGTCAAGAGGCGCAAGTACCGATCATACGACTTGGTTAAACATAACACAGGTTTTATCTGGTAATGCAGTGAAAAATTAGTTTGATATCATTGTATTCAAATGTTTTTTCTCTTTTCTTTCCGATCAGTGTGAGGACATCTACCGTGAAATTTACTTAGTTTTCCGCGCTGAGCCAAACGACAAGGCCGCTAAAATCAAGGCCTTTGAAGAAGGTCTGGCACAGTCTCTGTTTAAGGTAAGCTCTGTCCATCATGGTTGTTGCTTCCTATCTTACATATGTTCATCGTGATTTTAGTCAATGTCTTCACTAAAAGATTTTACTCACATGAACATGCTGTGAGGGTGGTGGTAGAGCAGTGGTTGAGTAGCTGTCACCGGCGTCCCTTGGACTCTATTTTCCGATATTGCAGGCCCGCTACCACCACCCCACTTTGGTGGTAGGGCAGCTCTACTGTAGCCCGGTTCAGTACCACGCCTAACCTATCAAGGCTTTAAGTGGTTCGCCACTCCAAGTCCAGGCCCTTAGGTTGCCGGTTTCCATCATTGAATAGCAGGTCCTCTCGACTATTAGGTCTACCCGGTTTGCTGTTCACACCAAGGTGTGTAATAAAAAGAAATAATGACAATGTAATTTTTTACCTTATTAAAGAGCGAAATAACTGGAACGGAAAGAAAATAATGCTATTCCGGTGATTCTGAACATTTCTGTGTGACCGTTGCGTACGCTCACCGGTTCGCATAGGGCTTAACCGTTCTCCTTGGAATTGACAGACAGAAACCTCAACATGAGTCTCGCCTTGTTATGAACAGAAAACGATAATCCACGCGAGAGCGAGAGAACAAAAGCGAATACGAATCTCTGTAGTACGTGAAATCTAGACGAGCAATTCAGTTTAAATTCTAAATTCAAATAACCGGAAGCACGGAGACCTCTATCTGCTGGTCCTTTCGATAAAAGAAGAATGCTGGTGTGCGATACACCAGCAGTTTCATTCGACTCAACAAGAACAACAAAGAAGTGCAATCGTTAACTGTCCAGGGGGTCAGAAAATTGGATGTTACGTGGAGGGAGAGTGAGAAAGATACACTGTTTACAAGCATACATACAATTACAGTATATTATGACCGAAATAACGAACCCCTCAAAAAAACAATTTTGATAATACGAAAATAATAGGAATTCAGTAGTAAACGTATTGGGTTGGGATAGAAAAATTGCCATGCCAACTGCAACGAGTATCAACTATTCAATCTTGTCAACGGTGTCTCAAATGAGATTATTTTGACGAAAATACACAATATGAAATGGAGTGACGAAAGGTTACCTAATGTGCATGCCTGACGGGTACCAATAATCGCCAAACCGGTTTTATGCTTCCAGGGCAATTTTGTTCAGGGGTAATCTGCTACTCCTTTAAAATATATTCATATATCGATAACCATGGATGAAAAGCAACAACTTTTTTAGCTCTCGCGTATCAACGTTTATATTTACTTGTTCTTGAGTGTTGGAGTAAAATTTGTAGTAGTTCAAAACTGGCAGTTCAGAATTAAATTATATTTCATGCAAAGCAGCATGGAAGTTCGTTCTTTCCATTAATTAATGTTAATAACTAATGTTTCATGAGGATGTTTATCCTGGTCAACCTTGATAGTGTGAAATGTTTTGCACTGATGAGACCGGTTTTTCGATAACTGTCACTCTTGAAATGCATTCGCAAATATCTTATTTTTCCCCAGATAAAGCCCAGTATCGTATCTCACCCGAGGTCGGTAGTGGAAATGGTTTGGACCTCATTACGTATTGCTTCTTACATTAATGCAGTTTGTGTATGGGTTATGTCCAGTGTTTAGTTCATTCAACTACTACCCAAAAGTTTGCCCTGTGTTGGAAATAAAGACAAGTCAGCCACCTGGACACTGGTGGTCAGTGGCCAGGGTGCGACATGTATTAGAGGAAACTGGCAGTGGCTGTTAAATAGTCAATTTGGTGGGGTCCATACAAAAACGACTGGTCTCAATGCTCAAAACATAAACAAGGCAAATAAAACATTGAGAAAGTGGAAGTAGAATACCTGTTTCATACCAATGAGTTATTTGTATGAATAAACTCGAATGACGGTTTTTACTTAGGCTTTGCCATTTTGCAATTGATGCACCAACAACAGTCGAGTTAAGTCAATAACTACATGAACATAGCCCCACAAGTATGTTTGTTGGCTTGGCGTTGATCTGGTCGACGTCGAGGCTGCCTAAAACAAAGGGGCAGTGCCGTTGGCATTCGGGGGACAAACCTCTTATTCACAACTGNCCCCGGAGATACGATCGGAAGCAGATGTCGCGCTTGAACTAAGAGAGTGCATGGATTAAGGGGTCAACAATGGATTTAGATCCATGGAAAGATAAACGTTTCCACCATGTGTTTACGGATGAGTCACAAAGATTAGTTAACCCGGTAGTTTAGGAGGTACGGAAGAACATGGGACTCGGAAGCATCGTTCTGTTTTCTACCTCATTCACGTGAATGCAATGCTCATACTTCCAGTTACTTGTGGAAGCATTAATTTTGGAATGTGATCCAAGATACTTCATACCACAACACACAGTCAACTAATTCCTATTCTCAGATGGATGTCAATTCACAAATGTTGTTTGAAATGATTGTCTTAGTAATGGAATTAGCAGTGAGCCTGCACTTGACAACCAAGTTGAGACAACGACTAAAGTAACAGTCATATTTTCGCTTAACAAGAGAAAGACAGTGAGTGAATTTGAAATTGCTGTCCGTATTTTGCGGTGCTTTCTCAAGAACGTAGTAAAGAAATCAGTTAATCAATTGATTCCGAACTAAATGTTTAAAATAGTTATTAATTTCTTATTTTTTCATCTTGAAGTATTCATCAATTCCCCTATGATTTGTTTCATGATTGATCGGGGACCAAATGACAACAGTTGGTTACATCATCACTCGAAGCCGGTGGTGGAAAACATGTGACCGGGAATCGAATTACTTTGGCCGATCTGGTGTTGTTCACCACCCTGGACCAGGTGGAGGAAGTGATGCCAGGCTATTTGGGAAAGCACTACCCAAAACTGCATGAATTTCATACGTCATTGCCAAACGCTTGTCCCCGACTGGCCAGTTATCTGAAATCGAGGCCGAAACTTCCGTTCTAAGACGGGGAGTTCGGAATTACGATGCGCCCTTCCGTAGGGGCAGGATGCGTTGTGTACAATGTCCACGTGAAACTTTGTTCGATTAGATCCAACTTTTGATTGACCGAATCTTTTTATTTGTGTGCTTTGTTCGCATCCCACAGAGTTTCTTGAAACCGATAAAAATGCTAAAACTTTCCCTTTTGTTTTTCTGTTTTACTGGATTGATGTATATTTTTACTAGTTCCCTTGCCAAGTCACCGATTAGGTGTGCTTAACGCATAATCATAGTAGGTCTTCAATGAATCCGACAGTTCAGTAAAACAGCGTACGTGAGCTGTTCAAACTGGTGAAGCGTTGCTTATTAATCACCCGACTTTATGCCCGCAAACGTTTCGGTACAAGTAATCCACTTACCGTGGAGTTGATCCACTATTTCTATATTTCGTTATACTAGTACACGTTCATTCACCATGATTGAATAACGCTATGTGCTATGTACAGTCAATCTCCTCCTAGGTCGTACCCCACGGAGATTCAAAAAAGGTGAGCTAATTCCAGAAACTGCGACATAACATGTTAGCCAGTAGTATGAAAAACCATTCGGGACATGTGTGATAACATAAACGGGATTGATGAAAACTACGTAACTCCTTCTACTCATTCCCATTATTTATTATTATTCGCTGTTTATTTAAAGTGGAATTTAAATGTACAGTATCGTGTAGTTTTTGTGTATCGAAGAAATCCGAATCTGTTACGAAGTTCATGGATTGACATTAAAATGGTGAACTAAGAATTTGGCGCTTTTTCAGTTTCAAGTGACTATTTATCATGAAGCTACTTAGCTTTCCTTTGTGAAACATTGCCAACTCAATTGCCAAAATTCAGTTGGTAACATTTTCCCATACGGTTGCAATGTAATGATGATCACCAATTCGAGTGCACGGCACCATGCTCTAAAACAACTTTGACTATAATGACGTCACAAAATAACAGCACCGCAAACGATTCAGCCTAGACCGTACGTGCATGATTTTATGCTTCATTCGCTAGCCAAACCGTATTCAAGAGAAAACAAGTAAAACATTTGGTGTACCACAGTATCTGTAGAAATGAACACGTTCTTTAATCCGTTTTTTTTGTATACTGAAACCGATTCGATCAGTGTTGGATAAAATCAAAAACACAGGTATTAGTCGTGACCTCAGTGACTGAATTAGCTCAACAAGTGATTAATGACTAAATGCGTCACTCAAACACAGTACGATGCACGTTAGACCCAGGCCAGTGACCTGTGCAACTTCGTCAGCACTCTCGAAAGGACTACTGCGATTTTTGTTTGACCATTTGCACAGGAGGGTCAGAATAACAGCAATTATTGATTAATTTGCGACAGATCATCCTACTCAACACCCCGCTGTCCATTTGCGATTATCGTTCATTGTTTGCTTAGTTAGGTTTGTGCGACATATCAACTGACTATTGCTCCCGTCAGCTAGACTAATCTTACCGCCCGAAGCATAGACGTGGGTGCATTACCAGCTAATCTAATGTGGGTGTGAACCCAGCCTTTGTGAATGCATTGATTGCTACATTCGGATGAAAAGGTATCCGAGCTTGTTTGAACACATGCATGATCATGAGAATGTTCATTTCGGCTTTTATATTAGATTCCTCATCCTCTACCAAAGACAAAAAATATTCCGGGCGGAATCGCACTCTTGTTCATTGTTTGTAACATTGGAGAACAGTTTGAAGGCAGTCGTGTTAAGTTTACTTTCTAGAGTGTCGCATATTTGTTATGGCATTGGACGTAATCTATAAATAATAAAATAGAATGTCCTTGGAAAACCATGTTGCCGTTGATATCGGATAGACAACCTTGGACTAACCCAGCAGTGATAACTGTTTCCCTATCATGCTCGAACAAGCAGGCAAAACGACGATTTACTTTGCTTTCTTGGCTTTAGAAATTGCTCATTTTTTGAAACTGGGAGCTTTTTGTAATATGAATCTGTTTCCTCATCACAGTCAGCATATTCATGAATCAACTGCGCAAACTCCGTACGAAATTCGTCCACCGCATCACACAGTTCGGCAAAATTTGCTAGTTTCTTACTTTGTATGAATGAATACCACATAGGCGACACCAAGAGAAAAACCAACCGTTGTAGGCCTTGTAATTACCATGATGCATTTTTTGCGCTAGTTCAATCACCTTGGAAACGACGCTCTTCACCATTGGTAATTCATCACGCATTTCCCTCAGCCGTAAACCATGCCATCACTAACATCCTCTACCTCATTTTTAGGTTTTTTAGGCGGCATCTTTTCTGAGGTGCACCATAATTGACAAATCCTTCAATAATCCTTCGACTGGATAAACATTGTAGTCAGTTTTCCCAGAAATGCCAAGTGATTTTGCCTGATAGCTCTTAGCTGCACCTAGCCCATTCAACATTTTCAGCACATTCTGCTTCTATTTGATAGACTGGTGCTTTGCATTGCCAAGTCTTGGGCTGCTGGCAATCATATATGCTATCACCACAAGAATTATCCAATTCGTGAACAGCGTCTTGTGACAAACTAAGACGTAGCGTGAGTGTATGAAAACTCTGACCACGAGACTCAGTTGTGTTCGTTTCCCTGGATGGGGACATCCAAATCATGGTAACCGGTGGTTAGAGACATTGACTGATATTTCTCTATCGCAAACCGTGGTCCTCGTGCATCTAATCATTATCCTTGCAATCCTAGTCTTTATTAATTTTATATTTTGACTGTGGTCTCAATATGTCAATCTCCCTTCTTCCCTGTTATCCAAGTGGACATTCTAGAGGCAGCAACCAAAACCACCACTCAAATTTGCATTGTTAGAGGTTGTAAAAGCTGGAAGTCATTTGTGTGTCACACAACGTGAAACGTCACTGCACGACGTTGCACGTTGGTTGATCAGCCCTTACAACGATTATAGGCCAAGTATCAGGAAGTGCGATATACTGAGGGGCACCGTTGCATAGTAGGAACCTACGTTGTTACGTATACGGTTGGTTTAGGTTGACTGAAAAATGGGAACATATTAGAAAATGCAACTTCTCATGGGAGGTTGACTGTTTGGTGTAAGTCAACAATTGAGATAAAAGGAAATGTTAACATTTCGTGGTATTTGTCTACTTACAAGTAATCATGATTCAAAACGGAAAATACGAATAGTTCCTTTTGGTGGACCTGTATGCCTGCGCAGGGAAAGGTGAAAGTTTTCTGCAGTGAAGTACAACGCGTTTACGTTCACTCCTTATTAACCACCAAAAACGATTCAAAAAAAGGATACTTCGGTTCCACGCCCTGCTCATATCCAAAGGTGCGCTGACGACTCAGTTTCACAAGGCTAGATGAATGCGTATTAGGTGATCGTCCTTCGACCGTGGGAGATATGATCGTACTTTGCTGGCCAACCGCCGCTCCCAAGCTCGACGGTGCCTAGCTAATAAAGCACTCTGCTATTCCTGTTCCACCTTTCTCATTGGTTTAGTACTGCTAGGGCTAAATCAGAACAGTAGGCCGATAATCAACGTATCAGCGGACAAAACACTGAGTCGAATCCTAAAGGTTTTATGGGACAGGTCTGTATAGGCTCCCTTTTCGGTGCTTCAGTTAGGTCCCCATCTCACTGCCTTCTGAATCAAACTTTTGAGTCAAATGCTGAAAGCAGAGAGTTAAAAAACGCATTCATTAATGTGGGCTCATGTAAATTGAACCGTGTCCGCACACCTCAGGTACCCATTTAAAAAAAACTTTTCCTTGTCTGTCGAATTCTCCTGCACATTCACCAAGGTTCCGATGTGCCTCTTACAACTGAGGATGAAGTCGGCTCTTTAAGCGTTCAGTACCCAAACACTCTAATACATCGGTGAGATGGTTACCTTAACTGGAACCTTTCAGCCAAATATTATTCCACAAGCTCTGTTGATGACCAAATGCTTGCACAAAAAAGCTTTTGCAGGGCGAGAAGGCGAAGTGAAGATGCATTCTGGGTCAGCGAAAGCAGCACGAAATTTACTAATTAGTTTACTGTTTTTTCATATCCAAAGTCATCCTCACACTTTACTCTTTTTGTTGTGTCATACAAAATGTCCGGGCTGAATTCCTACTATTTGAATCAATCCCAGCCCACTGTTGACTGGGTGCTGTTTACAGCTCAATAGTGCAGTGTAAATCAACAGCCACAGAATAAGGCGTCGCTGTTATTGACTGTGTCCATGTATGCGCCGATAGATTGCAGTTCGCCTGAAATGAAGGATACTTTCCACATCTTGCCCACTCTAAAGAGTTCGCTCCACGGACATCTGACTAGGCTCTAGCGAGTTCAGTGCTCACACGGGTCAGCTGGCCCAATCAGAAAAGTGTCGGGGAGGCTCTCTGTGGTGATTGTAGTAACAGTACGCACTGAACACGAAATACGAATCACGGATTAGCAATAATGGACGAGCCGTAAGCACTGAATCACACTGGTACTTGCACGCAGTATCCCATGTAACCGAGACGTGAGGGAAAGATCACAGGATTAGCAGTTCGTTTGTTGAAAAAAATAAAGGGGGATTAAATAATACGTACAAGACAAGTTCATTGGTCATCCAGGTCTCTGCAAATCGCGTGCTAGTATTTCTGGCGTTGTTAAGCTTTTGTCTGGTTCGCAAGGGTTTTCATTGGTACACGGGTACAACCGACCTATGGTATGTAGTCCAGACGCTGTAACAGACATGCGCTTCGCTGACGTCACCCGTGAAGCTTGATTGATCACAGTTATCCGAAAACTGTAACGCGTCGCTCCGTGGTGTGCGTCATCTCGTAGACTAGGACCATCACACCCTCATCTAATCCAGGATGACAAGACGGACAACGGAGATCGCCTCTTTCAGTTTTGTTCAGGTCACGCATTATTCCCGTCAATCAGCAAGCCTGACACTGTCAACCACCCTGACTTATACGGAAATCAGTTTCCATTTATCAGTGATGGG